TAAAAGAAATTAAAGAAATTAATAAGGTGAAATCATAAAGGGCTATCATTCAATCAGCTACTTGTTATGATGCAGTTTATGCGGTCACTGTACACTGGCTGTTGTTGTTTACAGGCTCTCTAAATTAGTCATACGTTCAGTGTTCCAGTTCTGATGATGCTTATGGTGTAGTCAGAAAAGCATATCGTAACATAATTTATCACAATAATATACTGTAATATTGCCCACTTGATTGGCAATTGGCAACATTGCCCGCACAACAAAGCCAATTTGGACAATAACTAAGATTCAAAACTAGGAATGGAAGTTTGGAGTACTTCTAAGTGTATAATCCTATAACTGTGGCAGGTGGAGGCTCCGTATATAAATACTGACAAAATAACATACCCTTCATTCTGTTAAAACACCACTGATTCCATCAATTTTACCCTTAAGCCTTAGAAGTCAGAGTTACCGTCACACTGGAGATAACAGAAGCTTGTTGTAAATTCATATTAAATATTTATCACTTGGACCTCATTAAAAAAGTGGAGAAATTCTGAAACTGCAAATCCTAATTTTCAGTCCACACAGCATTTGTGTTTGTAGCTAGAAGAGATATTTTATGATTTGAATTTGCTTAAAAAATGTACAGTTTTGCAAACTATAAACTGATTTAATTGCATATCTGCCTAATTAATCAGGTAATTATGCATATCATTTAAGTACTATAGCAAAATGACTCTAGATTCTAGTATGACGGTGCACTGTGGGAATCATAGGCTGATGCTGACATCCAATATGTAATATTTCTCAGGTATATGTCATATATATATATATATATATATATATATATATATATATATATATATATATATATATGTATACTGAACTGCCTAGTATCTAAACTTTCATTACTAATGTACTCTTTTACTGTTCTTCAATAGTCAGGACCCCCACACAGCAGGTATTATTTGGGGGGTGGATCATTCTCAGCACTGCAGTGACACTGACTTGGTGGTGGTGTGTTAGTGTGTCTCACTGTGCTGCAAAGTTTTTAAAAACTGCGTCCATTCACTGTCCACTCTATTAGACACACTGACCTTGTTGGTCCACCTTGTACATATAAATTAAGAGAAATAGCTCATCTGTTGCTGCACAGTTTGTGCAGTTTGTGTTGGTCATCCTCTAGTCCTTCATCAGTGGTCACAGGACGCTGCCCACAGGACGCTGTTGGCTGGATATTTTTGATTCTCAGTCCAGCAGTGACACTGAGGTGTATAAAAACTCCAGCGTCTGATCCACTCATACCAGCACGACACACTAACACACCACCTGTGAGGGTCCTGACCACTGAAGAACAGGGTAAAAGGGGGCTAACAAAGTATGCACAAAAACAGATGGACTACAGTCTGTAATTGTAGGACTACAAAGAGCAACTACACGTTAAGTAGAGCTGATAAATTGGACAGAGTGTAGATACAAGGAGATGTAATGAAGTGGCCGATTGGTGCAGTGACACTAGTTGGTGAGGGAAGTGATTCATTTTGGTCTTAAAAGGCAGCAGAAACCTAAATGGTGCATGTCTTCTGCAGATTTTGAACATCTGTAAACAAAACAAAATAAAAATTCAATCTCCACCTTACAAAAAACACACATGGGTCTTTGCTATGCTCCAAATATTTTGTTCTGTTCTTTTGTTTCTTTTCTGTTATTGTTTTTACAGTTGCGTCCTGAAATCTGGGGGTGGTGCAGCCCCCTCAGGGCCCTCAGCCCCCCACTTTCCGCACTCCTTTAATCATCCCTATATCTAAGTCAACTGAATCTGACTGCTCATTGCTCATCACTGCTAAAATGTGCTCTCTGTCTAATAAAGTGGAGCATTTCTCCGTAAAATGGACAAATGCACTTTCATGTCTTGCCTAAGATGGGGCAAGGGCAGCTATTTAAACTCTACACCAACAAGCTCCCCCAACACACTGGCTACGCAAGATTTTGACTCACATTTTGTCTCAGATTTGCATGCAGTACCACCAGGTCTTGCTTTATCTGTAGTCTAAATCCGTAGTCTTTTCTGCATTGGTATTGGGAGCTTTCTTAGTTCTGGGCTATATTTGGCTTTAAATGGAGAATCTTCATTCCAAAGCTGCAAAGAACAGGACTAGGTTTAATCCTTGTTCGTGCAACTTATACTTAATTGGTATTTTATTACTTAGACAGTGGCTTAATGCATTTTAAGCGGTTTTAATACGTGTTAAGTGTTAAGATTAACCGTTTGTTTATCTACTTCCACGTCTAGGCTGATCTTTAGCCTCAAGACAAATGGAGCTGGGACACATTTTTGTTTTGCTTTGTTTTGTCAGAGCTGAGATGGAATATATCCTACATGCCTTGGATTTGCAGCAGATCCTGCAGGTGTTTACCTTCATCTCTCACAGGCTTTGCCTTGACCTTTTCTCGGGAGACATCTATATGCAACAAGTCACATAAATATGTGGTTCATTTTGTGACTGAAGCACAGTCCTACAATGGAATAGACCAATACAACTGGCACAATATGATTTTGATGGGTAACTAGTGTGCTTTGTTGTTAATACTAAATCTGCATAAATATTCATGGATGAATCTAATGATTAAACATTATTAGCTGCAATATTGGCAAACCTAGCTAAATGGCTACCAATGTTGAGTTTTAGTGACTCTGCATTAACTTGTATCATGTTGGCTGGCTTGTATTACTGGCAAAATGGCTAATTTGACAAAAGACCTAGATTTTTTTTAATCAAAGATGCATATATTGGGAGGAATGTCTTGTTTTTAATTTGAAAGAAAAGGCTTTGTAGAGATTTAAGATTCATCTTCATCAGACAGATGTTTAGAAGTTTAGGATATCTGCATTTTAATCATTCTATTTTGTAACCATGAAGAGGTAAATGCTAAATCCATAAGGCCAATCCAGATAATCTCAATTTCTGCATTATATAACTACTTAGGGTTTAGCAGCGGCAGATTCTGTACTGTGCAAAAGTCAGAGACCACCCTTCTTTATTTAATGTCCTGTCAAAATGGCCATCAAATATACAACTGATTCATTTTTCAGCATCTGAAAAAACAACAAATTTAAAACCACAAATTTTACAAAACCTTAAAAAATTCAATATAATATCACAGTTTCAGTTTTTTGATGTGTCCACCTTGTCCAGCCTTTATAGACTCATTTTTAGTTTTTCAAAGAAATCTGCGAGGATATTTTTCTACACCTCCAAAGTTCAGTCTTAGAAGTTGGTTACATTTTCTGCTATAATCCCAAACACATTTTTTTCTGTCTCCTTTCATCAGTAAGGGCTTCTAGACAGCTGCACATCCTTTCAGACACATAATAAAAAAAAACACAGATCAGGCATAACATCATGACCACCTCCTTGTTTCTACGCTCATTGTCCATTTTATCAGCTCCACTTACTATATAGGTGCACTTTGTAGTTCTACAATTACAGACTGTAGTCCATCTGTTTCTCTGCATACTTTGTTACCATGTTCTTCAGTGGTCAGGACCCCCATGGACCCTCACAGAGCAGGTACTATTTGGGTGGTGGATCATTCTCAGCACTGCAGTAACACTGACGTGGTGGTGGTGTGTTAGTGTGTTGCGCTGGTCTGAGTGGATCAGACACAGCAGTGCTGCTGGAATTTTTAAACACCTCAGCGTCACTGCTGGACTGAGAATAGTCCACCAACCAAAAATATCCAGCCAACAGTGTCCTGTGGGCAGCGTCCTGCGACCACTGATGACCAAAACAAACTGTGCAGCAGCAGATGAGCTATCGTCTCTGACTTTACATCTACAAGGTAGACTGACAAGGTAGGAGTGTCTAATAGAGTGGACAGTGAGTGGACACAGTGTTTAAAAACTCCAGCAGCACTGCTGTGTAATTGTAGAACTACAATTTGCCCCTATCCAGTAAGTGGAGCTGATAAAATGGACAATGAGTGTACAAACAAAGAGGTGGTCACAATGTTATGCCTGATCGGTGTAAATAAGTGCAATAAAACTTTATATTCCTGAGATCTCAGAATAATTTTGATAAATAATTGTCTTTTGAATATTGAGAAAAATAATCATGCAAAAATAATTAGCATGATTCAACATCACACAGTCCTAATTCATACCCAGTTAAACATTTCCTAAAACCAAGCCTCTTACCATTAAATAACGACGTTACCACATTGTTTTGTAACAGAATATTGCCCTCTTTCTTATGTGTGGGTGAAACTTATGCGTCTCCATGAAACTGGCCTCACAGTTGCTAGGGAAGAGATGTTTGACATCCTCAACATACTGCAGCCCTGGAGAAGCTGGCTGAGGGCGCGTTGTGTGGGAGTGCCAGATATGGCAAGCTTCGGCATTCTGAAGTCTCTGAGCCTATAGCGAAAGGTCCGGCTCACGCTTCTTCCTCCGCTACGAGTCCATGTTACCCGGAGACTCGCTCAGGGCACTGCTGCTGCAGCAGTCTGCTGATAATCCTTATCGCCTTTTAATTCCCCACACTTATTTCACAAAGTGAAGCAACCTGGGGGTGAAGTTGCTGCCTTTGCAATCTAGCAAGGATTTCAAAAAAACATGGCTCAAGCCAGATTCACAATATGGTGACAAGCCAAGATCCCTTTTCTGGTAATGCAATAATCTGTAGGTGAGTACAGTTGCACTAAAGTTGGTGAGCCTTGCATAAAGCCTTGGTAACCTGTTTATTTCACATGCAAATAAGCCAGCAATCATCTACCTTTAGATGTTCAAGAATGTACAACACAGCATGCAATCAGCAGAACATTTTAGCAGACTGGAGGGGTAAAAGACCACCTGAGCGGAAGCATAATGAGGATTAGCAATCTGCTTAGGGCAGCGTAATATTTTTTAGGCCCCTGACTAAACAGTTGTTTGGGATTTTAGATGCTTTCAAGCAACTCAGAAGTTACTCATTTAGCAGAATTGGCACTTAAGGAACTTACGTGGTCTGTTTCAGGGTTTGATGCCTACTTCACCTCCCGCACGCTGGAGAACAACAGGAGAAACGTGTGGTTTGCTGAGTTCTGGGAGGAGAACTTCAATTGCAAGCTAATGAGCTCCTCCAAGAAAGAAGACACCAGTAGAAAATGTACAGGTATGTATTATAGACTTATTCTACAACAAACCATACAGTGAACCGCCACGTTATTAGCTACACTGTAGAGACGTATGCATAAATATGAATAGGAATATGAAACAGGTATAAATACACGTGATGGGAGACTTGAGTCAGACTGCTGTGGCATGTTGCATGTTGTCCTGACCTGTGATTTGGCTCAGATACATGCTTAACTGGCTCGTGACTCGACTCAAGTCAAAAAAAACATGAACCAAACTGATTGACCACCAATTATAATGCAGTAAACAAGCAAAATCTATTGTTTCCAACTTTACATGGGTCATTTTGCCTTGCAGTTTAACTACATTCGTGCACAATGTTGGGGTTTGAGGGCACTGCATTATGGGTATTGTAGTGAACATGCAATAAATGTGTTTTTTAAAGGAAAGAGGCAAAACTAGCAATAGCTAATTTAGCTTTTGTTGTCAACGTCTAATCAAAGCAAGTTGGAAAGTTGCAAATAACATTCCTTTAAGTCAATGGTCATCAACCCTCGTCCTGGAGAGCTACCTTCCTGCAGAGCCTAGTTCCAACCACAGTTTGCCACACCTGCTCCAGCTAATCAACCTCTTCACAAGTCCCAGATCAGCTGGATCAGATGTATTAGAGTTAAGGAAGGGGCAGGGCAGCTTATTGAATGCAGGATAGAACTAAACTCTGCAGGAAAGTAGCTCTCCAGGACCAGAGTTGGAGACCACTGCTTTAAATTATAATGAAACTTCAGCTGGATTAGCTGTTATACTCGCTAGAAAGCACACTTACAAATTACAGACTTACCAGGCTTTCAAGTTATTTTCCCACTTAATTTTAAGCACTGTATTTACTGCGCGTAGTGCTTTAGATTTGCCCATCACCTTGAAGACTTTTCTGTAATGAAAGGCTCAATATTTAACCTCTTAAATGGCCAGGGCTTGTCTGCAGGCCCATATTTTTATTACACACTTCTATAAGCTAAGAATGGCTCAACCAGTTTGCACTGAAGTCCATGTAGTTACTGAATAATAAGCCTTAGTATGTAATAAGCCTGAGATTTTAAGGGGTTAAAGCTGCACTAAACCTGACAGGTGCAGCTAATAGCAAGACTGAAATTCTCTACTAAGGACTTAAGACTTGGCTCAGATTTGCACCCTTAGAGAATCAAGGTACTGTCATGCATGCATACACTGACAAGGCGGGGCAAAACTTAATAAACCTCATTATGATAACTAGTGAAAAGAAAGATCAAGCTATATTTCACAACAGCATTTCACTTTTTAATAAGTACAGCATGAACAGAACATTACAACAGGTGTATATCCACCTGCTCAGCAGGCTGCAAACAAGCTACAGGCTGTAGCAGGGATATTCAGCTGCTTTAAGTTCAAATCGTTTAAAAATTGTTTGTAAACTACAACATAGAAAGTAAAAAATGTTACCTAAATGGATGTTAAAAGCTTCGTCTCTCTGTGTTTAAGCTATCTCATGTGAATATGCACTTTCTTTTTGCACATTCTGATGTAATGAACTGTCCAGAATGACGAAAACACATGAAATCCAGTCTGACCGGTCAAACTTAGCCACATATCCAGAAATCACCAACAAATGTTTTCTGTCCTGCTCGAATCAGATATCCCAGAAAACTGAATTTGAGCTGGGGGGTATTCCACAAAGCAGGATTTCTCAGTTTAGCTAGATAACCTAAGCCCAAAATCAAGCCTGTGCAATGGAAAAAGAGCTGAGGTACATTCCCATTGGACAGTCCTCATCTTTGGGCTTAAGCTATCTTGCTAACTGAGAAATCCTGCTTTGTGGAACACCCCCTGCTTGCCTTGACCAGTCTCAGCACAGCAGTGACACTAACATGGTAGTGGCATGGTCAGGCACAGCGGCGCTGCTAGGATTTGTACACACGTCAGTGTCACTGCTGGGTTGAGAATAGCCCTTAGATGAAAAATATCCAGCCACCAGTGATCCTGTGGTCAGAAATTGACCACTTATGAAGGGCTAGAGCAAGGGTCACCAATCTTATCCACAAAGGGCCAGTGTGGCTGCAGGTTTTCATTCCAGCCAAGCAGGAGCTCAGCTTATTCCTCAGGTTTAATCAGTTGGTCTTCAAACAACCAAGTAGTTATATAAGGTGAGCACCTGCTTGGTTGAAGTGAAAGCCACACTGGCCCTTTGTGGAAAACATATGGACCCCTGGACTAGAAGAGAGCCGGCACAAACTGCACCAACAGACACTAGCATGGCGAACAAGATAGGTGTTTCCAATAAAATGGCCAGCAAGTGTATATGCATTTTAGTTTTTTTTTGTTTTGTTTTTTTTTTCTTTTTTGGTCATACTGAGCATTTCCAGACACATATTCATCATATTTCTCATAGTTTTATGTCTGACAGCCCACACTGTTCTAATTGTGTAAGAAAGTAAAAGGTCCTTTTCCTGCTTTCTGTCTCACCAGCAGAAAAAAGGGCTGCTGCTTTCATCCTCCTAGAAAGGCATATGAATACTGAGCACCTCCACCCTTGAAATAAAGCCTTCAATTACATAATGAGCTGCGCTCAACCCATCACTGCTATTTCAGGCTGACTGACTTCCACGAAACCCAGTGAAGTACAAGCTCGACTCAAAACGCCGCAAGAATCTCAAGTGAAGCTTGGGAATATTCATAATGGGAGCCTGAAAGAATCAGACTCTGTAACAAACTAGCGCAACAAAATATGCACCTGAGACACAAGCTGTTAGTTTACTATGAGGCGGCAAAGAGGGCACTATCCATTATATCAGTAATCGAGTAATCAATCGATTATTTTGATGATTAATTAAGTAATGAGTCTTTTTTTTCAAATATATAATTTGAAAAGTTATTATGATATTAAATTAAGATTAATGATACTGTTGGTTTAGATGTATGTGATTAATTAGATCCTTATTCAATTTGAATGTAAAAGAAAAAAAAAGTTATGATATGTATAATATTACATAATATAGTTATGAGTGGACAAAATTATAATTCAATAAGATCATTTTCCTCTTATGATTGCAAGCTTCCGCATTTCTGCCAGCAGTATGTCAAAAAATGAAATGTCTTGAAATAATGATGGATTTCCTCAAAATAATTGTTTTATTAAAATTAAAATTTATAATTTAGAAAAAAATTACTTAATTTTGACTTGTTTCAACTTATTTACTCTAAATAATATCTCAAAATAATTACCTATATTTTCAGAATTTTTACTTGAGATTTTGAGGCTTTCATACTATGTCAAAATAACGAGTTATTAAATTGTATTTTGCAATTATACATCATTATTTAATCATTAATCACTCCAACATAGTAATTGAACGAGTCATTATTTTTAACGTAGATACTCAAAATGTTGTCCTACTGCTGCCAGAAGCAAATAAAACTCTGGTACATGGTACAAAAAGACTTCCATTACTGAGATCAACACTGGTTACATGTTCCACCCAGTGAGTGTATATATCATGTATATCATATATGCAGTCAGTGGCTTCACTCCTCTGTGATTGTAGTCTCTCGCTCTCATTCATACAGCTTGTGGATTCTTGTTTCAGTGGTGGTTCTCAATAGGAAATGGACAATTTAGCTTTTATTTGCTGCTTGTTGGTTTATCCACAGGTCTCCTGCGAGCTCTGTCTAGCATAGTCTGCTGAAGGTGTCGCTTTGAAAGCCATTTGAAAGCTTATTTGAATGAGAGCTACAAGTGTGGATTCTGTTTAAGCAACATACACTGCACTGCAGCTGGGCTTCAGTCGCACTCTGGATGTTTAGAACAGTTAAAGTAGAAAAGTATGTTAATGGCAGAAAAAAGTTTTTTTGTGTTAGTGTGTTATTAGCATGTTAACTTTACCAGCCCTAATGTATATATAAAATGCTATGTGATAAAATATGCATATAAATAGTGTGTCTATCTGCTTCTGTTTCTTACCTTAAGAGAGATCAGTAGGTATGTTCTTGATTGATGGTTCTTCAAGGGTTCTTTAGTAAAGAATATGGTTTTATATAGAACCATGAGCACTCAAAGAACCCTTTGATTAAAGGGTTCTTTGCATCATGACATGGTTCTTCAGATTGATGGAGAAGTATTATTGTAAATATGTTTAATTTCATTTAATGCATTTAAGGTAGTGCAAAATTTGTTGGATTGGCTAATGCTTAGTCTTTTAATGGTTAATAAACGTGTAAAGTAAGATAGATCGAGTTTGAATAGATAAAAAAAAATGACTATAAATCTTAACACACTAATATGTTTTCTACCATGCCTCATTAACACACTCTGCCTCGGCGATCTCAGGTCACTTTGATAGAAAAGATGTTGCAGGATGCCTTGTTTAAGTCTTACCACACCATCTAAACCCACTGCTGATCCTGTGGTGTATATATCACATTACGAACATTGTGTTACATTCTGTGCTGCGTCCTGTTGGCTCTCTAGAGGTCAGCAGGAGTGGTTTGGGGACTGGAAGAGGAAGTGGCATGCTGTCAGTGACAGCTGGCATAGGCAACAGCACCTCAGCTTTGTAGCTGTGCCTGGAGACACCATCAGTGCGAGGGCCAATTTGCACACATCAAGGGATCAAGTGCATGACAAGAGGGACAGCACATGCTGCTGTCTCTAGGATAAGGCTGTATGCTAAAGGGCAAGAGCAGCTTTGCTGTAGTGAAGCTGGTAGAGAGGAGGGAAGGGATACAGAAATGAAAGTTTATCTCAACCACGAATGCTAACGTTGCTAATATGGGGGGGAAATTCACACCTCACAATAAATTGCTCAATACAATTGCAATTCTTCAGGAATGCATTATGATATCTTAAATTTCACAGCAATTCAAATACAAACCCCGTTTCCAAAAAAGTTGGGACAACAAAGGAGACCCCGAACTATTGACCAGCTGAAATCCTGAAATCCTCACTTTCAAAACATTTCTCAGTTTCAACATGTGATATCTTGTCTCTGTAGTATTTGCCTTTAAAAA